AGTGAGCGGGCGCTGCTGGGTGCGGGCAGGGTGGGTATGTGCAAGACTATGCTGGAGTTGCTGTGGGTTTGCTGTTGCAAAGGGGTCTGTGTGAAATGGACTAACTCCTTTGTCGCTACATCTGGTGCTCTCTGTAGCGCCCCTCCCTTCTCACCTCCCCTTTCCTTTCCAGCCATGCACCATGCCCACTATTTCCAGGGCAACAGTGTCCTGACCTGGGACTTCAAGACAGATGTGAAGATCTCCGTGCCTTGGTACCTGGGGCTGGCATTTCGGACGCGCCAGTCAGACGGGGTGCTTCTGCAAGCCCATGCTGGCCAGTACACCACCCTGCTCTGCCAGGTAGGGCCATGGCCTGAGCCTCAGGTCTGTGCCCCAGCCTCACCTGCCATGTGCCCCAGCCTCACCTGCCATCTGCCCCAGGAGAGGACCCTGTCCTTCATGTTGGCTTTAGCCCAAGCAGAGGGAGCTTGCGGGGAGAGGTGTTCGGCAGGGCTGGGGTTACCTCGCTATGCTCAGAGGGAAGGGAGGCTGGAAGAAGGCCACATGGTGAGGCCTTCGCTCACTGCTGCTCTTGCTGGTTCCCTCCCTGCAGCTGACTGGGGGCCTGCTCTCCTTCGTGGTGAACAGGGGGTCCGGGCGCAGCACCAGCCTCCTCCTGGACCAGCTGCAGCTCAGTGATGGGAGATGGCATGATCTACAGCTGGAGCTGCGGGACATCCGCAGTGGGAGAGACTCACGCTATGTCATCACCCTCACACTGGACTTCGGGCTCTACCAGGTAGGTGCTGCCTGAGACTCCAGCACCAGGATAGGAACTGGGAGGGATGCTTGGCATACACGGGATGGGCTGGGCCTCTGCACCCTCAGAGAGAGCTGGGGCAGGGCTGATGTCAGTTGCCCCATATTACTCCTTCTGCAGGATACAGTGGTGGTCGGAAATGAACTGCATGGGCTGAAGGTGAAACACCTGCACGTGGGGGGAATCCTGGGCTCTGGCGAGGTGCAAAATGGGCTGAGGGGCTGCATACAGGTGAGTCCATTGCCCTGAGCCTTCCCTTTCCAGCAGGTCTTACATGGAAGGGTGGAAGCACAGGCTGGCAGCTGCTGCTGGCATCCATCCTGCTGGTGACACTCTCCCTCTTAGTGTGCCGGGCTCTGAGGTGCCGGGGTACAGCCATAAGTCAGCACAGCAGGGGTGATAGGATTGCCTTCCCCTGCAGCTCTGTGGAGGGCAGGATGGACTGGAGCCTTGCATGTCTGTCCTTGCTTCACTGTGAGTTTGTCACTTGCATTTCAGGGTGTGAGACTGGGTGACAGTGTCACCGGGACTGTGCTGCCCAAGCCCAGCCATGCCCTGCGGGTGGAGGCTGGCTGCAGCGTGCCAAGCCCCTGTGACTCCAGCCCCTGCCCGGCCAACAGCATCTGCAAGGACGAGTGGCAGAGCTACTCCTGTGTCTGCC